ATAGACAGGAAGATTCTATTGGCAAGCGTGAGAGCCAACAGCTGACTGACACGAATGTTAACTAGCATGCAAAAAAATCGATAGCTGCATTCGTCATAGGCGAGAAAAAATTTAAATCTGTATGGCATTTTACTCCACTTGGCTCATTCGCTTGCTTAAACTCAACGTTGATTCTGATTCCGCAGAACTGGGTTAGGTGTGAAAAAGTATTTGTTGTTAACATTCTTTTTTCATTCGGTTTTTCCAGTTACGAGTCCTTTTTTTTTAAGCTGATCGTTTTGTGTTCATTTTGTTTAGTTCTTTTTTTTGTAACAGATTTAATGTTTAGTATAGAGCTTAGAAAAAATTCGCAGTGTGAGATAGGCAAGAAGTAATGCATGTAGCAAACATCAGCACGGCAAAGGGCACTCCTTTAAAGGCAAGGAAGGGCAAAATATTTTAAGTCAAGTGATAGCGATTGCTGTATGAGTCGTACGATTTTTTGATCAAGCACTGGCAACGCCAGGCCATGCTTCAAAGTAAATATATATATATATAAAAAGAATTATATATAACTGATAGAAGAGAAAGAAAATTTAGAGATGAAGACAAAAAGATTAAGAAGATAGATAGATAGATAGATAGATAGATATATATATATATGATATACATATTTTTTGTATAATATACATTTTTAGAATTAACAAAATTTAAGGACAAAAAGATGAAAAATTATAAGAGTTTAAATATATATATATATATATATATATATATATATATATATATATATATATATATAAATATATATATTGAAACTAGTAGTCGACAATTATTTTAATATATTTTCTTTTATTTTGTTTTTTTTCGATATATAAATATTTAAGTAAATGCTATGTTTATAATAAATATCATTAAATATTTACCATCCAGGCAAATCCTCTGTCTAAATGGTATAGCACGTCAAAACATATGACGCTTGGAGCCCACATATTGTCTATGAAAATTTTTCGGACAAAAAGTTTAATATTTATATAAAATATTTTAAGTCAATATAATTGTTGTATGAGTCGTACGATCTTTGAATCAAGCACGGGGCAATGAAATATCATAAATAGTGTCCATATATATATATATATTATAGTCAAAAAAGGAAGAACAGTAAGATATGTAATTCTGTGTCCTCACTGATATTTTTGTTTTTACAAAACTGTGCCCAATGTAATTTACAGAGCGTAAATATTACAAATTAACTGATTTAAAAATATGGTTTCATCGTTACACAGGAATTACCATGTTTCAAAAACAGAAAACAAAAAGTTCAAATTCAATTATATTAAATTAAAAGCATTAGTTCTGTTCCATCTGCAAGCGAATTTTTGTTCAAAATTCGCTTGAAGATGAAACAGAAATAATTCTTTTAATATAATTGAATTTGCGATGAAAGCATATTTTAAAATCAGTTAATTAATAATAATAATAATAATAATATATATATACATATGTGCTGGATGTATGAGGGTCAAGCAGCTCAGTCCTTAAAACCAACAGCCAAGATATATATATTTTGCTTATATTTTGGCAGCATGTTTTCATTAAGACATGTCTCATTAAATAACTAAAATAATTTGTGTCGATTTACTTTTGATAGGTTCCTCTCGTAATTAGTATCCTTATTAAAGGAAGAAAAAATTACAATGTTGATGCATATTCATTTTATTCCGAGTATTTTCGACATTAGCTCAATGTCTTTATCAAGACAAAAAAATTGTTGTGTTCATCATTTTTCTAAAACAAAATTGTTTTGTTCATCTGGAAATTAAATTTTAGGTGTGAAGTGAAAAACGATAAGCCTATGTACTGAACAATTATTAAATATTATCAGGCAGACATATCTGCAAACGTCAAGGTGGGTAACAAATTATTGTAAGGTCTAGAGAGATTTATAAAAAAAAATATGAACCTGAGGACAACATTGTGCTAATGTCGAAAAAGTGTTACAATCTAAAAATATTATCTGGCTTTCAAAGAGTTGAAGCTTGTGAAAACGAAGAAATCATATTCTCTCTCTCTCTCTCTCTCTGTATGTGTGTGTATGTGTGTGTGTGTGTGTGTGTGTGTGTGTGTGTGTGTGTGTGTGTCTTATGCTTTCGATTCTTGAATTTATCTAAATGTTATACACGACGGGGTTATTTTCTAATCGCTCATATATTTTTTAACTTTTTTAAAAGATTCTCTTTATAAAAAAGATGTTATATATCGGTCGCAATTTTCCCGCCATTTCGTGCCTATTTGCCATTCACCATGGCGATTATTGTCCCTTCCTATCCAACCAATTACCCTCCCTTCTTTATACGCATATTTTTTTTCTTTCACCTGGTTTCCTTCTACAATTTCTTTAGTGTTTCACACATCCTATCTTTACATATCTACATCCTCCTTCCCAACACTTGGGGTCTCTTTTTTGTCCCCACCCCCATATACTTCCTGTTTAATCATGCATATGCGTAGGGACCTCACCTCTCGAATGGTTTTCGAACAGAATATTCGAGATGAAAATGCCTCGGTTATCGAACAAAATTTCGGTTCTCGAACAACATGGCCGAACCGAGCCGAGCCGAACCGAGTTAACCCGAACGGAATCATTTCTTAGTCGACCGCCATGTTGTATACATTTGTGTGTTGTGCTGTGTTTTTCTTTTTCCAATTTTATTGCACTGTGCCTTTTTTTTCCCCTCTTCATTAGTCCCCAGTCTTGGCTCCAAAGAAAGCTAGCAGGGATAATTGTAATGGAAAGAGAAAAGATAAACACGATTGTTGATGATATTGTCTCTATGATGATGATGATGATGATGTCTGTATTATGATGATGATGATATTGTCTCTATGATGATGATGATGATATTGTCTGTATGATGATGATGATGATGTCACTATGATGATGATGATGATGATATTGTCTGTATGATGGTGATGATGATGATATTGTCTCTATGATGATGATAATGATGATATTGTCTTATAATGATGGTGATGATATTGTCTCTTCCTACTCCATTTTCATATGGCAAAATGATGATGATGATATTGTCTCTATGATGATGATGATGATGATGATATTGTCTGCATGATGATGATGATATTGTCTCTATGATGATGATGATATTGTCTGTATGATGATGATGATGTTATTGTCTCTATGATGATGATGATGATGATGATGTCTGTATGATGATGATGATGATGATGGTGATGATGATGATATTGTCTCTATGATGATGGTGATATTGTCTCTTCCTACTCAATTTCTATGGCAAAATGATGATGATATTGTCTCTATGATGATGATATTGTCTCTATGATGATGATGATGATGATGATGATATTGTCTCTATGATGATGATGATGATGATGATATTGTCTCTATGATGATGATGATGGTGTCTCATTGATGATGGTGATGATGATGATATTGTCTCTATGATGATGATGATGGTGCTATTGTCTCATTGATGATGATAGTGATGATGATGATATTGTTCTATTCATTTGATGATGATGGTGAATTTGTCTATATGATGATGATTCAATTCTGATGATATTGTTATACAATGATGATGATGATGATGGTGATGATATTGTCTCTAATATGATGATGATGGTGATGATGATGGAATATATGATGATGATGATGGTTTGATATTGTCTCTTCCTTTTCAGTTTCATAAAACCTTTGAATCAACGATCCGATATTATTCTTATAAATAAAGAGACGATCATGTCTTTCCTTCCTCTTTAAACAATAAATAATCTTTCCTTCCTCTTCAACTTACGCCATCAACTTTCCTACTTACAGGTCCGGTAAAATTAAAATATTCCTCGATTTCTTAGATTCAATTAATTAGTTTTGTGTATAAACTTGTGCATAAAGTACTGTTGTTAAAGTTTAAATAAGCAATCATCTTGGAACCAGGGACGGATTAATCCATTTTACACTGATTCGTATTAGAAAAATAGTTTCGGTTTACGAACATTTCGGGTTACGAATGGTCTTCAGGAAAGGATTAAATTCGTGAACCGAGATGGAAAAAAAAAGAAGTGACGTTTCACATGCGGCTTGCTTACAAACAGAATTGTTCATAACCATTTTGTTTCTCACCAGTCGAAGTGCAATTTTAAATGCACTGAAACGAAGTTACATCTTTGTAGTGAGTAAATTGTTTTTGACTATATGAAAAAAATTATAATAAAGAATTATTGCACTACTATACGTATTGAACCCTCTTCTGAATTAAGGCTGTGAATGTAAAAATTTATGTATTATTTTTTCTCATTACATTCGGTTTATATATATATATATATATATATATATATATATATTTTATATATATATAATATTTTGTGTGTGTGTGTGTTGTGTTTTTCAAATGAACTCTGTCTGTACGTCTGTGTCCTACTGTGTGTGTACGTGTTTGTGGGCTGGTCAGGAACATACCTTTACATACCATTCCAATTTATCATGTATCAAATATAGGTGTTCCCAATACACCCCCCACTCCACCCTCTGGCTTCGTAGGTCGATGTGGAATCAGTTCGTAATGTCAAATCTCGTCGAAGAATTCCAGACATGTTGCCAATATTCTTTCTCGAAAATTCCATTGATCTAAGAATTAGGGTCAGTTCATTGGCATCACAGTTCTCTTGGAAAATCTCTGGACTATTTAGCGATGGTTGCGTTTATACACACACAGACACAAACACACACATACACACACACATATATTTATATGTATGTATATATGTATAGGCGAAAGATGTATGACAGATTGGAAAATTTTTCATGTGACGCTTTCTCGTTCTTTAGGACTGTCTAGGAGTAAGTTTATATTGACGTTGATACGACGACACATGCGCACGAATGAAAAACGCTGTGAATTTTTAATTTCTTGTGTTATCGGCAACATTATATACACCGCACACATGAAAAAATAGATAAATAGTTATGAATACACTTAGTTAGCTAGCTAGATATTGAAGAGTATCAGATAGATCGATAGATAGATAGATAGAAAATGAAGAAATGAGATAGATACTAGTGAAATGAGATAGATAGATAGATAGATAGATAGATAGATAGATAGATAGTGAAGAGAATGAGATAGATAGATCAATAAATAGATAAATGAAGTGTCCATAAGACAGACAAATTGAGAGATGAATCTGAAGAGCCCATAAGAGATAGATAGATAGATAGATAGATAGATAAATAGATAGATAGATAGATAGATAGATAGATAGATATGATAGATATGAGATAAGAGATAGATAGATAGATCTTCTCTGAGATAGATAGATAGATAGATAGATAGATAGATAGATAGATAAGAACAGACTGAGATAGATAGATAGATAGATAGATAGATAGATAGATAGATAGATAGATAGATATGAAGAGACTATAAGAGATAGATAGATACTGAAGAGAATGAGATAGATAGATAGATAGATAGATAATCAGAAGAGCCCATAAGAAATAGATAGAGAGATAGATATGAAGAGGCCATAATAGATAGATAGATAGATAGATAGATCTGAAGAGCCCATAAGAAATAGATAGATAGATAGATAGATAGATAGATAGATAGATAGATAGATATATAGATAGATAGATAGATAATAGATAGATAGATAGATAGATAGATAGATGATTCTAGAAAAAAATAGATGCCATAAGATAAACATTGATAGATATTAAGAATCCATAAGAGACAGATAGATAGATAGATAGATAGATCAGAAGAGCCCATAAGAGATAGATAGATTGACCTGAAGAGCCCATAAGAGATAGATAGATAGATAGATAGATAGATAGATCTGAAGAGCCCATAAGAGATAGATAGATAGATAGATAGATAGATAGATATGAAGAGGCCATAATAGATAGATAGATAGATAGATAGATGAGGAGGCCATAAGATAAACATATTGATAGATATTAAGAATCCATATCATCTCAGCTTCCTTTTCTACTTCTTCCCCTCCCCCTACGTCTAACCACGGTTCTTTCAAGAACTGTCTTTGCAAGGACATCCTAGCGTGTTTACGTGGGTGCCCATGTGCTGCTGGATTGTTATTTTGTTTTTAACAGCGTTTCACCCCGAGCAAGGCGTGAAGCCACTAGGACGCAGGCGCTTACAGAAGATTTGGAGCAAGATCAGATAGGAGTGATAGAAGAAAGGATGAGGAGAAGGGTAGTGGATAGATCAAGGCAACTAGAGATGTCGATTGTAATTACATTTCGATAGCTGGAGATTATAGCTATCAGGGAAACTGGAATAGAAAAGGGAGTTCCACAGGCGAGAGGTTTTTTTGTCATGAAGCTATTGGAGTAGAAGAGACGACTACATTTAGGAGTTTCGACAGTGAAAGGGTGAGAACAGGATGCCAGCCTCGTAGGGCGCTTGAACTCATGAAGTCTGGGAACCAGCGAATGCAGCTCCTCGGAGCAATTACCATGAAAGTATTTGTAAAACAGACAGAGAGAGGCGACGGCGCGTCTGTGAGAAAGTGACTGTAGATGCCAGAGTAGGGCCAATTATAATAGCATATTAAATGAAAACAATATATTAAATACCTACCTGTAATATTGTTATGGTCCAAGGGTAGGACCATGGAAGAACAACACGAAACATAACAATAGAAATAACAAAGAATATATTACACGAAAAAATAATACAAGAAGTAGAAGGTGTTAGTATGACTGTCAGTTTGGTTTGGAGTGAACTACTATCGGCTCGACTCGATTCAATACCGATATTTAACAAATTTTCTAAAACATGAGGGAATGTATGGGCAATTAGACCGAGTTTAACGTGAGTTTCTCCGAGCCTGTAAAAAAAAAACACAAGAATATACACTTTGAACCCGCTATAAATTTTCAGGGTTATTTGTCTACCTCCCCTGGCAAAACTTTGCTCTTTTCGGCAAATCAATAGTTCCTCTCTATCAAAGCAGAGAAATACTCTCCATCTTGAGAGGCGTAGTATACATAGCGTCAGGAAGAGTTCATTCTGTCGATCTAGATAAGGACCCATGACAAATAAGTATCTTCCATATTCTCGAACTCCATTCCGGCTCTATGCTTTCCAGCCAACTTAAATCTAGACGAAAATAAATACAATATCGATCGCTATCTACTGTCCTCTTAGTTACTCTTTCCTCTTCCCGCTCATTATTAATGAACCTGTTCCTTATTCTTCCACACCCTGTAACGCTTGTGTCTTAGTTGCTTTACTGTCAATAAGACGCGAGAAGTCTTGATTAAAAAAAACAAAAAACGATTGTGAATTCCATTAAAAAAAAAACCGCCAAATAATATGAACTGTTGAATAACGGACAATATGTGGCTAATTCTATAAATAATTGTTTCTTCTATATATTAGGTTGGTTTAAAAATAATGACGTCATGATGTCGTTTTTTTGACGTTAAAAAAACGTCCAAAACGACATTATTAATATCATTTTTTTGCACCAACCTAATAATCTTCATGGGGATATTCATATGTGTTATACGTTATATATATAAATCAAAAATACATTTACAAACATTGAGGATGGGTTTGTCACACTAAAACAAAGAAAACAGTCCATATAAAAATATGCTCGTAAATCCTTCGTTTTTGTGCTGTTGTTATGAATAATAAAGAGTGGTCTCCCTTTGTTTTGTTACTCTCCTCTTTGAGAGAGCCATTTCTGTTTAGTGGGACTATAAAAAGCACACTCTACACAAACCTTGTATTCTCAGTTGAAGAAAGCTTTTCTTAAAGCCTACACCTGCGTACTATTGTTATTACATTAAGTTTAAAGTTCACGGTAGACGCCATTAAATGTACAATCCCAAAATACATTTACAGACTTTGGAAATTGGGTTCCACATACTAAAAGAAGGACAAACGTTCATATAAACTTAAGTCTCTAAATCCTTCGTTTTTTCAGTTATTACTGTAGACGCTGTTAAATGTACACTCCAGGATACGATTCAAAAATTCTTTTACAGACGTAGTGGGCGGGTTCCTTACACTAAGATAAGGTCAAAAGTCCATATAAGCATGAGTTCTCAAATCTCTGCAAAAAATGGTAAATACTTATTTCATTTCTATAAAAAAAATCGTTTTTCATATTTAAAAAATCATAAGAAAAATGTTTTTCATATTTTAAGTAAGATATAAAAACCTTTTAATTTAAAATAAAATTGTTTTTTTATTTTTTTATTTTTAAGAAAACGATATATAATATCAGAAAAATATAACCTATAAACAGATAAAGCCCACAGGTAATTATAAACATCTATGATAATTTATTGTCTTCGTGATTTAAAAATATTAATTAAAATCAAACCATCTACACAAGATCAACATCGACAAATTACCTGCGAAATAAGAGCCAAATATCGAAGTCACGCGCGATCAAGAAAATAAACGAGACTCAACATTTTCTCGACATTGAAATAATCCAAAACAAGATTAGATTTCAATGCTTACCGAAAATCAACAAATAAAAACGACCTAATTATTATTATTTTTTTATTCCAAACCAAACATAATAAAAACAGGATTAATTTTGGGATTCTATCTAAGAAGTCTCATAGAACTAAACGAAACGTCAACGTTCAAAATAACACGAAATAGTTCGCATTAAAATTTCCAGAATACTTATTTCATTTGTAACTAGTAATGAGAACCCGGCGTTGCCAAAAAATGTAACAATTTATTGATAGATCAAAAATCGAAATATGATCATTAAAGACTGAAAAATAAAATTGACAAAATTTTATTGTTTAAAGTTGACGGACATATGTTTAATTTATCATTTTTTTTTCGATTTGGTCAAACCAAACTCAAACATAAACATTGTTTTCAATCGTTATGAATAGACCGATTGAATAAAAAATATTTTTAAAAATTGTCTTGTAAATGGAATTTTTAAAGCATTCTGAATGTTTAATAAAAAAAAAATGTCAAGACAATCTTAAAATACTACCTGCCAAAAAAAAAAATGAAAAACATTTTTGAAAAGTTTCGTTTTGTAAATAAATCGAAAAAATATAAATTTTAACGTCACATACACACACTTACACACACACAACGCACAAAACACGCACACAAGAACACATGCATGGTAGAAAAACCTGGGTTTTAAACTTCTCTTACAAAAGGTTGTCCTAAAAATTCTCGAATGCCTATTTTTCGTGTTTTTAAATTGATTTTATAAAAAACAATTGTTGCCTGTTTTTCCTATTTTAGATTTTCTGTCAGAACCACGGCAAGATAATTTTACGTAGTCCTGTGAAGTTTTGTTGAAATCGGTTGAAAATGTAACGGTCACTTGATTTAATAAAATAAACGCTATACACAGTATTTTGTGTCATATTTACACACACACACACACACACAAATAATCTTCGTTTTATAAGTTTAAGATTGTACATGATTCATTCGAATATGTCTTTTTTAAATTTGATGAAATCTGCCGTTTTTTTGAGTTATCGACAGTGTGTTTCAGGATTCATTCGCGCCGCGGACAGCCATTATATGGCTTTGTATTCATATGTTCGCTGCAGAATACCTATTTATGTATATATCATTGCGCAAATTAATATGTGTCTAATGGAAATAGTTCTCGTGTTAAAACTGAGACACAAATTTAAACAAGAAAGATCAGTTCCGAACTTAGCTTTCCTCTTCTTCCGCGCTTTTTTAGGAAAAATCATAAATAGGCCATCATTGACAGTTTAAAAAAAAAATATGTCAACGACAAATGTATTGTAAAATTTTTGTATTTAGCGCAGATCTTCATTTAATTGGTTAATCAAGACATACCCACAAGACTATTTTTCAAATATGACTGTATGATCATTTTTAACTTTCGGAAAAGAGGTAACACCTTGTTTTTACCTTTTCTTAAAAATCATTTAATCCCTTTACCATCGATTGAAGAAGTACAATCATGGTATTGAAACATAAAATCATCTTGTATAATTATAAATGTTTTTTTTTTTTTTAAAATCTCTTATATATATAAAAAAAATTTAAATATAAAAAGTCTACTTTGGATTAATAAGATAAAAGTAAAATGTTAATGAACAGTAGAATTTTTTTTTCAATGTTTGTCTATATATATATATATATATATATATATATATATATATATATATATATATATTTATTATGTCAAACTTTTTCATAGATATGTTTTAGAATTTTAGATATTTATCAAACCTTAACCTCCCAAATATGCACGTTAAAGTAACGCGAATTAACAGCGTCTAAGAATTTGAATGAAACCTGTCGTGTAATTTATTGGGGTTGTTGTAACGTCTTCCTTTAATGTCGGTCTTATCGTTCAGAGAACCACCTTTATCTAGAGACGAGACGCAAAATTTGAGCAACATCCAGCCGACACACTGGGGTTTAAAATAGGAAATTGAAATGATACATATGACACACTCATATCCTCTCTCCCCTCACTTCCTCACTTCGTTAACTTTGCGTATACTTGATGAGGTCCGTCAAAAACGTGTGAATTTCTTTTCATTTTCATTTCAGCTTTTGGAAGTAAAGTCTGATGATCCAGAACCCTGTTAAAGGGGTTATGGTGAAATAGCTTATTACATGGAATCTTAACGTGGTCTGTCTTTTATTCAAATAATATATATATATATATATATATATATATATATATATATATATATAATAAAAAATAAAAGAACAGTAATATATATAATCCGGTATTCTTATATATATTTTAATTTTTACAAAACAGTGCTCAATGTAAATATTACAGAGCATATATACTATAAATTAACTATTTAAAATACATTTTTCTTCTATACATAGGATTTACCATGTTTCAAAAAACATAACTAAAACTTCAGATTTAATTATATAATTTCATTTACATTCAACATCATCAAATATATATATATATATATATATACAGTGTAACCCAGATATATCCAGAAACCCAAATATAAGAGAGTATTTTTCTGATGTCCCAAAGTGTTTCCTATACTTATTTGATAAATATAAGAT